GGCAGATTGGCGTATAGATTGAGCCGGAGCTCGGCGCTAACCGTATCTGACGTGCTCAGACACTAAGCCGCAGGTCTGTCAGGACGGGAATGAGACTGATGATGAAATGTTAGGGTGGTAATACACTGGACCAGGAATTGAAGACCGCATTCTTTCAGGCCAGGGCGAGACACGCTTGGGCTAGTCTCACATCGGCTACGAGAGGTCAATGGAGCGGACCGCCAGAGAACGGCATTTCAGAGACGAACCGGCAGACCTGTCCATGTTCATCTCGTGGAGAAGGCTGGATTTCTGTATCAGCTCACCTGGGAAAATTCCATCCAGGATGGCAGTGCAGTTTCAGCGAGTGTTTGATGATAGTGACACGAAGCACAGAAAATCACTGCTAATGGAACTGAAGACCCTGCTAGGTTTGACAGCCGCTGAATGCCAGTACGTGGCATTCTTATGCAAATCAGCATGTACTGTACAAGCAAGAGGTTAGATGAAGAGAAGGAATGAGTCTAATGACTTAAGCCTTATCAAATCTGAATCTGAACCACCAGGAAGCGCGTGTGTGTGTGTGTGTGTGTGTGTGTGTGTGTGTGTTGAGCGTTCTGTCCATGTTCATCTCGTGGAGAAGGCTGGATTTCTGTATCAGCTCACCTGGGAAAATTCCATCCAGGATGGCAGTGCAGTTTCAGCGAGTGTTTGATGATAGTGACACGAAGCACAGAAAATCACTGCTAATGGAACTGAAGACCCTGCTAGATTTGACAGCCGCTGAATGCCAGTACGTGGCATTCTTATGCAAATCAGCATGTACTGTACAAGCAAGAGGTTAGATGAACAGAAGGAATGAGTCTAATGACTTTGAGCTAGACCAGCCTTATCAAATCTGAATCTGAACCACCAGGAAGCGCGCGTGTGTGTGTGTGTGTGTGTGTGTTGAGCGTTAGCACTTGTATGTGTGTCTGTCTCTCATGCCTTCAGGCTTTGCAAGCACCTTCACCGGAATGAGATGGGAGACTTTATGTCTTGTAATCTACTGGGTCAAAAAAAAAAAAGGTGTATTTTTTAGACCTTTGATCTTTAATGTCCTTTCGTCGTGTTTTTGTGTTTTGTTTGTTTCTATTGTTTTGTTTCTTTAGAGAGAGAGAGAGAGAGAGAGAGAGAGAGAGAGAGAGGTAGGTTGTTACTGAAAATAGGGAGCCCATGCTACCTAAATGAAAATGTGCTCAAGGGGAGAGACGGATGGAGAATAAATTGGAGAAACAGATAGAGAGAGAGAAATGTTCTCAAGCCAGAATTAATCAAAACAACAATACATTTTTTGCCTGCATCTCAATATTCAACAAACCAATAAAATTTAAAAGATAAGTGACATTAGATGGTTCAAATAAATTGCAGCTCCACAACGAATGAATTCTGGGTCAAAAAAAAAAAGGTGTATTTTTTAGACCTTTGATCTTTAATGTCCTTTCGTCGTGTTTTTGTGTTTTGTTTGTTTCTATTGTTTTGTTTCTTTTGAGAGAGAGAGAGAGAGAGAGAGAGAGAGAGAGAGAGAAAGGGAGGTTGTTACTGAAAATAGGGAGCCCATGCTACCTAAATGAAAATGTGCTCAAGGGGAGAGACGGATGGAGAATAAATTGGAGAAACAGATACAGAGAGAGAAATGTTCTCAAGCCAGAATTAATCAAAACAACAATACATTTTTTTGCCTGCATCTCAATATTCAACAAACCAATAAAATTTAAAAGATAAGCGCCATTAGATGGTTCAAATAAATTGCAGCTCCACAACGAATGAATACAGTCCTTCAAAGGGATTGAAAATTTGCACGTTACTTGTCTAGTAAAAAATTTAAGATTGACAGCCAAAACGCCGAAATCGAGAAGGCTTGATGTAGTCAGAGTTGTTTTTCAAGGGAGTATAGCGCATGGAGACGCTTCCATTAGAGAAAAGCAGAGGATAAAACATGGCTTTGCTGTTTCCCAAAATAAAAATCACTTAAAGTTATTTTTCCTCAAACAAAATCTCTGTGATGCTTACAGAGAAACTCATCGGAGAAACTCATCAAATGATAAAATTGCACTACAGCATAAATGTTCAACAAACCAATAAAATTTAAAAGATAAGCGCCATTAGATGGTTCAAATAAATTGCAGCTCCACAACGAATGAATACAGTCCTTCAAAGGGATTGAAAATTTGCATGTTACTTGTCTAGTAAAAAATTTAAGATTGACAGCCAAAACGCCGAAATCGAGAAGGCTTGATGTAATCAGAGTTGTTTTTCAAGGGAGTATAGCGCATGGAGACGCTTCCATTAGAGAAAAGCAGAGGATAAAACATGGCTTTGCTGTTTTTCAAAATAAAAATCACTTAAAGTAATTTTTCCTCAAACAAAATCTCTGTGATGCTTACAGAGAAACTCATCGGAGAAACTCATCAAATGATAAAATTGCACTACAGCATAAATGTCAGCAAAATATGTGAATTATCAAGTAGAATTTTTTTTTTCTTCACATTTTCACATACAGTGGGTACGGAAAGTATTCAGACCCCCTTAAATTTTTCACTCTTTGTTATATTGATTTTAGCAAATGGCTGCAATATAACAAAGAGTGAAAAATTTAAGGGGGTCTGAATACTTTCCATACCCACTGTATTCATGAAACATGAGCATGTCATCATTCATAAAGCCATAAATTGTTCTATCAAAATGAAAAACAATGCAAGTCACTGTAGACATAACAGTATGATTTTTGTAAAGCTGCTTTGAAACAATGTGTATTGTGAAAAGAGATATACAAATAAATTCATAACATGTGGACAGCTATTTTTAGGTCTCTCCAGAGATGCTCAATTGGGTTTGCCAGATTGGCATCTCTAATCATTGTGATCATTTGTATTTGTGAAACCTGTATTTTTTATTGCTTCTGCACCTAAATTTACAAATCAATTCCTTTTGATTTTGTGAAATTACATTTGTCTGGCAGGCTAATAAAGCATTATTGCCGTAATTTGAATTAAATTGAGTGAGCGAGAGAGTGAGAGATTGCTCAGGGACGAACAGAGCTGAAGACACAGGAAAAAGGAACAGATGAGAACGATAGGAAGGTGAGAAGAGGACAGACTGTGGAAGAAAAGGAGCAGAGGGAGGGAGTGAAAAAGTGAAGGAGACAGAGAGTGGCAGGGATTGGCAGGAGTGACAGGATGTGACAGTGAGCTCATGGGGCGGCTGCTGCTTTACTCTCCAATCACATAGTCTCTCTGTCTACTCAGTAATTTAATCTGATCGGGAAAGTGTGGGGGGAGAGAGAGTGAAGCGTGAGAGTGAAAAACACAGAAGAGGGTAAGAGACAATGAAAATGGGAAGGTTAGAGCAGGAGGGGACATTTTATTGCCACTCCTTTTTCTTGTAAATGCTATCTATCTTCAATCAATCATCAATTGTTCTTTTTCAATCTGGCTTTATTATTTGACTTTTAGTCTTTAAGGATAGCAAAATCTAGAGCTGATTAATAATGGTTAAACAGTTAATCACAATTAAATATAATCATAATTATTGTAATTTATTTTTTTCACATTTCATCAGATTTATTGCACTTTCACATAAGCACAAATCAAGAGAATGTCAACTTGCATGGTTTGCTCGCAGATTTATTCACAACAAACAGTGCAAACAACCATGTGAAAGAAAACAGACTGGCTGTATAATTGCACTTTTATTTGAGCAGAATATCTCAATAGAGATGGCTAATCTCCAAATTGTTTGCAAGTGTTTTTAGCTCATCGGGGCTTTTTCTGTAAAGCAGAGTGAGCATGGTTGCCAGGTTGGGAAGATTTAGTAAACAGAAAGAAGAAAATTATGCAGAAAGCTCTAATTTGGGCAACCAATAAAGTTTGTGGAGGCTTGTTACCAATGCAAGATAACATAAATGCCAAATTAAAATAGAATTTTCAGGATAAATAGTCAACAGGCAAATATTGCAGATGATTTTGCTTAATAAATCAAGAGAGAAGCAGAAATCATGATCACAATTGAAATGTGATTCATTGTGCAGCCCTAGCAAAACTTGAAATCACCAGCTTCTTAAACATAGCAAATTGTGTTCTCTACAAGTTAAGCTTAATCAAAAGCATTTGTGTCAATATTGATTACCACAACCATTAATTTCCACTTGTCCTTCCTGGGCTACAGTGAGGCACTTAATGTAAAATGGAAGTAAATGGGGTCAGTCAGCATAAAATCAGATATTCACCGTTTCAATAATACAGCCACATGAGACAAATAATGATTTTAGTATTAAAAAATGCTTTCTAATTGTGTATATCCAAATTTACAACCTTGTTGCCAAGCCGAAACCATAAACCCAACTATAAAAATGATTTAAACAGCTTTACAGCTAAATTAATACACATTTTTAACAGAAGAATTCATGTAAGTACCTTAATAAAAATAAAAGCCTCACATTTCTGTTTTCTGTCAAAATTGACCCCATTTACTTCCATTAAATACCTCACTATCACCTCAGGTTGCTTTTTTTTAAAGAAAAGAATGAAAGGTTAATATTCAATATTATGCCACAAATGTTGTGGACTGAGTTTAACTTTTTACTATTCCATTAATGAAAAAGCAGAAAGGTTTGTGTGAGATTTAGTTCTGTAGTATGGGTAGAAACCATTATCATCTCAGTATAAAAACAGTAGAAGTCAATGGAAAATCCCCACTATGATAAAAAAAAAGCAAACATCTCGGTGTGTGTGTGTGTGTGTGTGTGCGTGCGTATTTGAGCCTGTACATTGTTTCAAGACATCCATCTCCTGACTCCACCCCCCATGAAAAAGCAGCTTTATCGATCCAAAGCAGCTCTATTTCCTCCAAGTGTCTAAGCTGATCAAAACGTCCTCCTCTCACAGATGCCATATTCTATTCTGCTCATGCATTTTGCTCTGTCTCTCCATGCATCTTTCGCTATCTCTTTTTTTCATCTCTCTATCTCTTTCTCTATGCAGGCCTTGTATCCGAGCCCAGAGGAGGGCTGGCAGATCTACAGCTCGGCACAGGATGCAGATGGGAAATGTATCTGCACAGTTGTGGCTCCAGCACAGAACATGTGTAATCGAGACCCACGCAGCAGACAGCTCCGTCAGCTTATGGAGAAGGTGACATTCGTCTCTTACATGCACAATAACCTACTAAATGACATGTGCTAATCCTAAACCAAGAAATGTTTCGTACATATTATGCAGTCATTAAACATGAATCCCAAACATTACAAAATACTTTTCCCCATTAGAGAAAGTTTGTGAAAGTACATGATGCAAGCAACCACCTAAAAGAGGACGCGACATAATGAGGGGCAGTAAATGATAACAGAATTTTCATTTTTGGGTGAACTATCCCTTTAAATCCTGCCACAAACACTGTCTTAAATCCTGCCTTGCCCCTCTGTCAGGGTCTAAACACCTTATCTACAATCGTACACCAACATAACTCAACCACACACAATCAAATGTGTGTGTGGCTATGCCAGCAGCGGTGAGGCACTAATGCTCCTGCCTAATAAAATGCAGACTAATGAGGGCACCTGGGTCAGTCCCTCTCTGAGAGAGATTTGTTCAGAATTAAACTACCACCACCCAGCCTCTTGTGTGTGTGCGAGAGCGTGTATCTGCTCAGTCCTTCTGAGCAGTCAGCGACATGCATGACAAACAATAACTGAATGCAGAGTGAATATGTGATCCCACCTAACCCTTGCCCAAATCCCAACATCCACAATCCTCAGCGCTAAGTGTGACCATTGGGTCTGACAGCTATGCAGATCAACTAATTAGACAAGGGCCCTCATGCACATCAGTGTGGACATGAGGAGAATACCAGCATACAATCCATGTCCTGTTTGATTCTCTTAAGTGCAGCCAGGAGGAGGGTGTGTGAATGTCTGTCTGTGTGTGTGTGTGTGTGTGTGTGTGTGTGGCCTCTGAGAGTATGTGGGAGTATGTAGGAGCTAGTAAGGTGTGTGTGCTGATCAGCAATCACGCTCCCGTCACCTGTGTGTTGATGTGGGCAAGGTGCCCAGTGGGCGGTCTGAATATGTAGGATGGCTGATTTGAACTACAACAAATTGAAGGCGTCACACTGTTGTGTCCTCAAAAAAACATGCCCTGATGCATTACACTGTTTTGACTTTGTGTTTTGTGGTATTTAACAGGTTCAGAATATTACTCAATCCATGGAGGTGCTAGATCTGAGGACGTACAGAGACCTGCAGTATGTGAGAGACACAGAGAACCTCATGAAAACAGTGGACGGCAAACTGAAGACTGCCTCTGAAAATCCACGCAGCCTCAACCCCAAGAGTTTTCAGGTACTGAGGCATATTCAGCCTAAAAAAATGGCTTAATATGATGGCTTGATATGTACTGGGTATTTATGTATTTTTAACCTAAATCACAGCAGCGTTTATCTGTGAAGGATGTAGGGTGTCAAACATACACATATGTTAGACAATCATAGCAGTGGGTGTTTTACTTCCAAGTCTACAATCCACCAAGCCTATTCAAACAGAGCGTTCCAATAAGGAGGGTCAAAGCAGGACAGAAAATAGCCTATTACTTCTAAATTATGATGTTTTTTGATGTAAAAATGTTAAGTGGACCTCAGAAAACAGTACAAAATAATACAAAAAGGCAGTTCATCACCCATTTAACAATTTTAATTGTGTAGATGATTTTTGATTTTTTTTTAATTAAGCAAAAACCTTTGAGCATATGTAAAACTGGCTTGATGTTGGATTTCACAAGACGGTTGACCCTGAGTGGTCAGCTAAATATCTACAGTGGATCTAAAATATGAATAGTTAATTATAACTAGTTATGGTTAATTATTCATATTTCCCATGAGCTGATTCGCTACAAGACACTGACACTAACCTTCAATACATCTGATTTTTATGTTTAATTGAGACACACCAAAGGTCCTCTGAGAGAATTCAAATGCACCTCAATTATTTATACCTAGAACTTGGAGCTTGTTTCAGTAATGAGTGTGTTTGTGTGCATACATTTTTGTTCTTTTTAGCTAGCAGCTGCTCTCTCAAAGGCTTAGATTCAGACCCCTTTATTATTAAAGCTTTTTATCTCTACGAATACGAGAGTGTGATTATCCCTGCACAATCTCAGAATAGTAGAAGGACTCACTACCAATTTACAGCGGACTAAATGGAAGAGCACAATTTAAGATGAGTAACATGTAGCTGTCTGCTAAAGAGAGTGGAATGGAAGCCACAGACTCTCCTCCCTGGGGTATCACTATCATTCAGAACGCAGCACCACCATTTACCCATCCACCCCACTCTGCTGCGTTGTGAGTCACCAAACGCTGCATAGAAAATTATTCCAAAATGTTCCAGAAATCATTCCTCATCTATCGATACATGTTCAAAGCACCATAATCTTTTTTTCCCCCCTTTTTCTCTGCTGGAGCTGTGAAAAATATGTGAGATGTGCCAGTGTTAAAAGCACTATTTCAAAGACTGGGAGTCTGAAAGCCCAGCTTTATTTCGGCGAGGCTGCTGATGAATGTGGAGAGCTCAAAGTCGCCTATGGCAGGGCGGGAGATTAACGAGACAAAATTTTTGTGTCTCAGAACAGGAAAATGATATTTATGATGTGGTGCCGCAGGGCTGAGAGCAGCTCCATCACCAGATTTACGATAAACTTTAACAAGGAGGAAACAGCCCCTCCTGTGGTGAGCATGCTTATTGATGCACCTGTTGTTCAGACCCTCTTTATTGATATACCTCAGCCTATGCCAGGCCTGCCAGTCGGCATGGCTGCGGTAACTGATTGCCCACACTGAGCTGAGCTCAGCCCACAACTTTTAGCTCTTTCGTATATGCTTGGTCACGCCAAGGTGGAGAGCTGACAGTGCTCAGATGAGTGGGCCTGTGTCACCACGTCGGAGGAGCAGTAGATTGTGAGAGATTGCAAATGTATAAAATCAATATTAAGTTCTCATGTGAGGATGCATTCGGATCCGGGGTAGGAGACCGGTCATGCGAGATGAAATACTGGAGGTGAACATGGTGAATAGTTAATGAGAGCCCATGCAAATTCCCAAACCTCTGTGAGAGGGAGATTAACCATTTCTCATCTTTCCTAACCACCATTTCACACCTTTCTTCTTCCGTTTACCTCAGGAGTTAAAGGACAAGGTTACTCAGCTGCTTCCCCTGCTGCCAGTGCTGGAGCAGTACAAGGCAGATGCAAGAATGATCCTTCGGCTGAGGGAGGAGGTGAGGAATCTGTCCCTGGTACTAATGTCAATTCAAGAGGAGATGGGAGCCTATGACTACGAGGAGCTCAGGCAGCGAGTGCTACTGCTGGAGACTCGCCTGCACTCCTGCATGCAGAAACTCGGTAAGACATCTAGTAGAAGTGGGTTTGAGTTGATTTTAATAATCAGGAAAAGACAGCAACCAATCTATTGACAGTGGACAAACAGTATGTGACCTATTACAACAAGAAAATAGAAAGAATTTTGACTTATTAGATTCTCAGTGAAGGACTTGATTGGCGTGATTATTTGTTACGAGTTATTTTAGAGCAGCTGCAGTAATTTACTTTGAAATGGAAAAGCAAAAGTAAAGTAGACATGTCTGATGGTTAGGGAAACCACATTAGACCCAATTAATTCAAAATGTGCTTGCTGTCCAATTAGATAAGCAATTTAACATGCAATTTAACATTAGAATGTTAAAAGCAGCCAACTAGCAGGCCTCAAACTGAAATGTCCGAAGTTCATTTGGCTGAAAGATTGATTGGCTTTCAAATGCATGATGAGACAAGCTCATGTTCTGTTTAGGGTGAAACTGATGACTTCACAAGAAAATCCAAAATGATGATCTAAAGGATATTCGTGTTGCTCTATAAATGTCACTTTTGGCAATTTAATGCTGACTGATTCATCGGAGTTCCTCTGAAGCCGCCATTTATAGTGCCCTCTTTGTTCTATCACCAGGTTGCGGGAAGCTAACTGGCGTCAGTAACCCCATCACTGTCCGCGCCTCAGGGTCAAGGTTCGGCTCCTGGATGACTGACGCAATGATCCCCAGCTCCGATAATAGGGTAAGAATGACCGTGCCGCAACACCCTATCACTCCATCACTGCCACTGCTATGATAAGCCGCCTCTCCCCGGAGACTTACACACACAGTGACTGAGTCAGTGTTTTGGTACAGTGAAGCTGCTCCTCAGCAGTGAGAGCTGAGTCACTGATGGATGGTTCTTCCATCATTTTTCTTCCTCCCTCCCTCTCTTTTTCTTCTCTATCATGCTCATACTCTCACTCCATACTTCTCTCAATCGTTAAGTCTCCTGTCAAAGCCACAGTCCCCATATTAATTACTCCATCAGGGGATTGGATATTAACAACTTGTTTAGGCAAAAGCTTCACCAATCACTGCCAGGAATTACTAGCAGCCAGAGCCATCATCAGGGAGAGACAACTGGGAATGTCGTCCTGGGCCCAGTGATAAAAGGCAGTGAATTTTTGAATGTATCTTAATCAAGCAGACCTGATTCAACTGATCAGCTCATAGTAGAGACTCCAAGACCAGAAATGGATGGGTCAGATATGGAAAATATCCAAAGTGTGTACTGTGAGGAACAAGGTTGGGAAGCACTTCTCTAAGTTGTAATCTACTCATTGGTCCAGTGGTGAGAGGCTCTTTTTAACCCTTTCGCACGTGAGTTTAAAATATTCTAGCTGAGCCCCCAGCATGAGTTTTTTTAAGCGACCGTTATTTTAAAATGTATCACATTATTATTTCCATGGCGACGCGTCATGCTTGTCATGTGACACAACGCAGCCACAATATATCTGTATGACACATGGATCGCTTTTATTTCGTTTTTCCTGTTTTATTCAAAATATTCACAAACATGCTCACTATATTATGACATATCTGATATTCCGATTCTGAAATATGTATTAAATCTGTTTGGTAGTTTAAACACTTATATCGACCGTGTTAGTTGATTTATACCGGTGATGGGCGCCGCCATGTTAGTTTGCGCTGCATCCAAGCTGTGGGATTTACAACACGCAAATTCATCCTCTCCTCCCGAAACAAGTTAAAGTAGGTCTCCGGTAAACTGGGAGAAGAGCAGAGTAAACTTTATAGTTACCTACACAATCTGTATATGATATCAATAAAAACATGTCGTCAGATTATATTTGTAAGGATCATTGTTGCCTTTTCCATAGACATCGGCGTGTATTTTACAAACTGTAAATGTATGGTTTTGCTAGTACTTGTGTATTTAAATATTTGAAACCTAAAATAAATATTATATGGTTGAAAACACTGAATATTTGTTTGAAACTAAGAACGTTAATTTCCTGGTTAAAGGAAATAACTTTCTTACTGTACAATTCTATAAGTTTGTAACGTAAATCTGCATGATTATTGACTCCGGTTATGAGTAAACAATGAACACGTCAAGTGTGATACAAGTAAGGTTTTATTAACTACATAAACACTTAAACTAGTCTAACATACTACATAAACACATTAAGCCGGTCTAACATACACATACACACACACACACATACAGTTGGTATAGGAAAGGGTTCAAGTTTAGCACTAAAGAAAGAGACATAAGGAATGACATTTATGGAACTATTTTGCATATTCAGCAGATCTAAAACCTGAGGGAAAACGTCAGATTCTTAGTTCAAACAAACCTTGTAAAAAGGTGTAACTGATACTTAATGCATCAATTAAATCGACTAAGTTTGATACTTGCGTATGTCTGAAAAAGATTCCTGATGCAATCTTAAGGCCCCAAGATCTTGCTGAAGTTGGTTGATGAGAAAAAGCTAGTTTGAGTCAGAATCACTTGATGAATGAAAAGGACTAGGCCGGAGCCTGGCACGAGCTTTGGTATCCTGGAGCATTTCTCACATCTTCATCTTAGCATCTCACTGAACCACCGAACAGGGCGGGTCACATGGAGTGTGGCCTTTTAAAGCCTGCAGAGATTCACGCCTCTCAAGATGGGTTCGTCCAATGAGGAAGGCTGAAATCCCAAGCGGGAGGTTGGAAATACTGAGGATTTTTATGAGTCTTTGTCTGTAAGCATGGTATTTTGCATATGTAATTCGCTGGAGTGTTGAGGCACAAATTAGTACCGATTCTTAGAACATCAATATGTTGCAGAGGTATCAGCATGTAATATGCACTCTCAGTTAGATCATCCGAAGACGAATTCATAGATACTAGACATGGTAGAGTTACTTATATGAATGAGTGGTTTATCGTAAGCATGAATAAAAATAGTCTATAATACAACAGATTAAATACAACACAGCAATAATATACACAATGGCCTGAAGAAAATGGGTGTTCATTCAAAGAAGGTTTTCCTATGAATTAATTAGTAGAAAAGTCAGTTTCTCCTGTGCATTTGTGCCTTTCTTATGAGGAAAATGAGGGAGTTTATCCCCTGCATTCCTTTTAGGCCATAAAACCAGTGATATCAGCATTGGTTACCATGGAACCAGAGGCCTGTTCTGCCTTTCTGAGGTGTTAGGTGCATTTCGGGGGAAGGGTCCATAGACCCTCGTAATTGGCCATTTGGTTAGGTGATGGGGAGTTCGATATTATTTGTTAAATATAACAAAAAGTTGTGTGTCTGATTGGTCCAAATGCTACAGCGCG